CATTATCAACAGTCATTGCAAAAGCTTTACCCTGAAGGTTCCACTCCCCAATAAGTTTTAACACAAATTTTTCTACCTCAACACCAGTATGAGGAGGACCACAATATCTAAAATTCAGAATTTTAGACCTAAGACACCAATTTTTATCAACATAATGTGCCGTTAAAGTAAGATAACCTCGATTAGTACATGTTGTCCACAAGTCACAAGTGAAGCTAACTCTACCTTCAATTCCCGAAAAAGATTGCAACAACAAAGACTTAAACTTATCATGCTCATCAATACAATGTTTCAAAATAGTGTTTCTACACACATGATTCACGTTGGGGTTCAAATTCGTAAAAACTTCCCTAAGGCCATGATGCTCCACAATACTTAAAGGATAGGAATGCAAAATTATAGCTCTAGCAAGCAATTGTAAATGACGTGTTTGATTAAACAGGAGCTCAACACCACTTTCATGATTTCCAGGATGGTGTGGATTTTTATTCATGCATGTCTTAGTATGAGCTTTACAAGTTGAAGTACCAGCATTACCTGGAGTTTTATATTCATTACCGCAAACATTGCATCGAGCATATTTTATCGGAGCAAGACCAACCATCTTATCAAAAAAGGTGTAATACCTCCAAACATCTGATGTTCGTCCACGCTTACTACCACTAGTGGTACGTTGAGTAGAATCTTGATTCTGAACAGTAGAATCTTGATTCTTTACAGTAGAATCCTCATCAAAACCAATAAACTCTTGCTCCATTGCTGAAAAAACAAAAACACAACAGTATAAATCAAGTGAAAAAAAAGGCAAATTAAGGGCAAATAAAAAAAAAGGCAAATTAACACAGCAGCTCCGGACCTGCTTGCTTCAAGCAAAGCACACCAGCAACCTAGCCCAACAACAGACAGACAACACAGCCCAGCTAACACAAGACGACAGCAAAACCACAGCTACAATACCCTAGAAAACCAGCAGCAACCAACCCCAGCACCCAGCCTGCAGCAGAGACATCAACTAGGACAGCACAAACCATGGCCAGAAAGACTCTGCTCTGAACAGGGCAGAAAACACCCAGCAGATCCTACAATCTAGCCTTGTACATCTAGCAGATCTGGCCAGACATTAGAACAGCAGCAGCACAGGACAGACCCTAGCTAGTACTACATGCTCTAAGCTGAGGTAGTCCATCTACAATTCAGTCCTAAAATATACTAAACACTATTAGACAACTCCTATCTGAATGCACTTGCACTTTTGCAACAAAACAAAACCCAAACTTAAATCAAAAAATCCTGCTAGCATTCAGCATTAACCCACATAAACAGAAACACTAATGAGAGAACAATGCAGCTGATAGAACAAAGGATAGCATTCAGTATATTTGAAGACTAATAGAGCATTATAGACAAAGCCATACATTTTAAATGCTCAACAAACAGCAAACAGTCACAAAGGCAGACCAGCAACAACACAGCAGCCTGAAAAAAACCAAGCACAATTAATAACACGAAAAGAAACCACAAGCATGAATAAGGTAACCAAATCAACTCAATTGTTGCTCATGGTACTACAACCACAACCCTGATCAGAACTGAGCATAGCCAAAGCTGGTAAGGCCAGAACACCTCACAAATAGATATAACAAAAAATGAACAACAAGAACAATAAAATTAAAAAATCAGAAATTAAATGAACAACAAGAACAATAAAATTAAAAATTACATGAACAACATCAAAAAATCAGAAATTATATGAACAAATCAGAAATTATATGAAATTATATGAACAAATCAGAAGTAAAAATCAAAAAGTAAAGACATGCAAATCCTGCAAACAACGAATCAGCAACATAAAACCGAAATGAAAACAAAAAAATTAACATAAAATTACCTTTGAGCAGTGACGGCTTGAAGGAGAGGAAGATTTGAAGATGGAGAACTGGAGAATGAAAAAAAAAACGAGAATGGAGAGATCGAAAAAAAAATCGAAAAAAACGAAACGAAAACAAAAACAATTAACTAAAATTTACCTTTGAGCTATTGAAGGCTAAGAGTTCAGAGCTTGAGAGTTGAGAACTTGAGAGTGAGTGAGGATTCAACGCTTCGATTTGAGGATGAAGAAGAAGAACGGTGAATGCTGTGGAATGAAGAGGATGAATGAAGAGGATGAATGAAGAACCTAATTGCCTTTCAGTCTTTCACAGTTTCACGTTTCACTTTTTTTTTTTTTTTTTTTTTTTTTTTTTTTTTTCTCTTTTGCATAATATATGAACCACATGTTTATTTAATTATTAAAGAATCAAAATATCTAAATTCTAAATCTAAAATGTGTTTTTCCTTTTGGTTTTTGGAGGGAAATTTCCCACCATATTTTGTTGAAATTGTCAACCAAAAAAATGAAATTAATTTTCCACTTTGTAAAAATCAAAATTTTTAATTTTATTTTAATAACATTAAACAAACTTTTATACAATTAATTAATTACATGACTTAAAAAAAAAAACTAATTACATTTCTCGGATCCCGATAAAACGATATTCACCTTCATAATATCAGCTTTTATAATTTTTTTTAACACACACATTAAAATATTAAGTTCTTTAAATTATAAAATGTGAATCGGTTAGCGTGTAATTTCTAGGCGTTGCGATTAATAAAAAATCGAAAATTGTTCAATAAATAATGATGTCATATCTTAGAGAGTTAGAAGTACTACAGATTTGTTATATGGTTATATTTATATCAGTTTAGCTGTACCTATAAGCAATACACTTGTAATCGTGTAAACTTATAAATGATATAGTTGACTAGTAGATTAGTACATAAATACAAATTACTTAATTAGATATGAGTTATGTCTACATGAGTGATTGACTAATATGACTATATGAGCAATTGTCAATTTAGCATAGCTGCATAACAGATTAGCAGCGTACTAGACTATCATACTCGGTAATATACTAATACCATTTCAGTATTTGATCTACTAGACTCAAGTTAAAAGTTACTCTTTCTGATTAACTTGTTAGTCTAATTAAGTAATTACTAATTACTAATTAGTGACTTAAGCCTTAAGGGTAAACCAGTAAAGGATATACAAAAATATAATAATCTTATGTTTCTCATCCCTTTATACTAATAATATCTAACTATGAGAATATGAGATGGTTATATGTTATGTATCTGTATAATCGATTGAAGGAATCAACATTACCTTCTTCTTCATTAATGTTTTCTTTCATTATACAAATCAAACTACTCTGTAATATCTTCAAGTATAACTTTATGCAAATATATAATGATAAACGAGTCTTAATTATCAGTCTTGTTGACTAATTAAGTATCGAATACCAAATTGCAAATTTCGATGTCACAACAACTCATCAAATCATGATTATGACACTATTAACTAAATGATCAAATCAGAAGCAGATAATAATCTGATAGTAAAACAATAATACATTAATGCACTAAACTTTTATAATCTACTTCATAATAAACTAGTAAGATCAGTATAGCTAAACTTAAATCATAACATGATATGTATTTATAAAATTAATGAGAATTTGCATATAATATGATGCCTCAATATGAAGTGATGAAGTCTCGGCTTGATATAAAACTTGTTAACTAGCAAAAAGTTAGAAAGTAGTACAAAATTTTTTGAAATCAAAAACAGACTCGAACCGTAATTTAGTAAATCTGAAATAAAACCGATCTAAATAATGTTAAATCGTAGAAGAACCAAACCCGTGAACGAACCGAACCAGTTATAACCGAACTAAAATAAAACTAAACCAAAAAACAACCGAACCGTTTCCAACCTGAAACTGTTTGAACCGGGATAATAACCATTTACACCGAACCGTTAACAAACCGCAACCCGTCTGCACCGAACCGTTTACTACCTGGAATTTTTACAACCCGCACCGTTTACAAACCGAACCGAATTTAAACCGGGTTAAAAACCATTTACACCGAACCGTTAACAAACCGCAACCCGTCTGCACCGAACCGTTTACAACCCGAACCAAATTTAAACCGGGTTAAAAACCGTTTACACCGAACCGTTAACAAACCGCAACCCGTTTGCACCGAACCGTTTACTACCCGGACCGTTTACAACCCGAACCGAATTTAAACCGGGTTAAAAACCGTTTACACCGAACCGTTAACAAACCGCAACCCGTTTGCACCGAATCGTTTACTAACCGAACCGTTTATAACCCGAACCGAATTTAAACCGTTCAAGAATAAACCGAAACCGAACCGAACCGATAATTATTTAAACCGAACCGAAACCGACCCGTAAGACATTTGAACCGATTTCAAACCGACCCGATTTCAAACCGAACCGATTTCAAACCGAACCGAAACCGAACTGTCAAACCGTTTTGACAGTGCTAGGCACGACCATTACTTGATTAAAAAAAATAATCAAGAATTCAAAATCGGCATTATAGTGGTTTGGTAACTTTTAGACTTTTAGTAGTTGAGGTACCTTCTATTAAAAGGTACGGAATAAAATTATTAGTTTACATTCACAACTCTATTTTGCTGAACACGCCCTTATTTTGATAGATTGATAAGTCTCCTCCCCAAAACATAAACTCTTTTACTAGGAAATTTTAAAAAATCAATAATAATACCTAATTTGACACTAAATTGCCACAAATGATACAATATTTGTTGGGCCTTCCAAAAATGAAACAACCTTTGTGTTATAATATCATAGTTTGACTATTCATAATATCATTTACATACATTGTAAATCAAAGTTTTGCAATTTACATTGCTATAAATTTAAAGGTATAATTGCAATTTAAAATGCAATATTCCTCCCACCTATTATATAACTTTATGTGCAACCACTAAACTGTAACATCTAAATTTATTGGCTTCCATAACCATCAGATGCTTAACACAATCCATAATTCAACTAATCATTATAAATTCTAAAGCTTAATTAGTTTGTTAAAGTCACGGTACTCACGGAGGATAGGTATTGAAAATGTAAGATCAAATCATGTCTAAATTACTACCAATTGTTGCTCTTTAGTTCATAACATTATTTATGCGACACTAAATTTCTTATCGGTGGAGTAAAAGATAAAATAATCCTCAATCTTTACAATCATGATTTTCTTGGATAAATTATCAAGTATCGAGCTGCTATTTCAAGGCGCGGACCTTTATTAATGAAAAATCAAGAAACTCTTTGGATGAATTCATCACAAGAAATCTCTGAATCTGCCAGTGCACTGTAGAATCATTGCCAAATCTAGCATGCATCAACTCGCCTTCAACCTTTTATTTGACTTATCAAATTTTGAAGATTCATCAATTTCCACCATCCACCCTACAAAACCATCAAAAGTTCGTTAATTATACAGCTCTGTTACAATGTAAAATCTTCCCTTTCTAAGCTCAGGCTATCATCTTAATATTGTGAATTTTAAGCATGTACAATATGGTTAATATGATTACACCCTATTTAAGTACCAATCTATTTACCATTTATCTCTTCCTCTGATGGTACGCCTCAACTGCCCATGTTAGTTAGGCTAGCAGAAAGCTCAGAAGCCCTCTCAACTCCATCTGATCTGTAAGGCGCGATATTATGAATATTGCAACGAAGGCTGCCTAGTAAATCATTTTCAATGCAATCGTACCTGCATCATTGTTGTTAAAGCAAGATTAGCATTGGAATTTAAACTTGAAAAAACACGAAACATGCTTGTAAGTGTCGATAGAGAAAATGCAGCACTTACATGCTCTTGCAGAACTTGCTAACAACATTAGACAAAATCATCACTTTTGATCTTATAGCCTTGACTTCATCATCCACAGAGTACTTTTCCAATGGCTCTTCTACTAACTTTGAGAGTTTTTCAACATTAGCCTCGAATTGCTGTTGCTGATCCTCGAATAGATTCTGCTTAATCTTTTTCTCTTGTTTACTCATGTCATTCTTGAATAATTCATCTCCAAACATGTAAAAGGCAAAGGCATACGAGTATGATAGAGCCCGTCTTGACCTGAATAATACACACATTCCTTTCTCCAACCAGTTAAACTCTCGAAGCCCTGTCTCCTCTTCACAAAAGGATATCTTCTTTCTTACTGTTTTCTCTAGTTCAGTCTCAAGATTTAAGGAATCTCTATGTGCTTTAAACCGTTCATAATAGTGCCTATATCGGTAGAGGGCCTTTCTTATAAGCTCAACTGAATCTCCTGGGTCTACATAACGCCCACAGGCATGGTTGTAGCTCTTTGCTTGCAAACACACCCAACTATTAGAAACAATATCAAACACACTTAGCAAAGTCGATAATAGCACAGAGCATATCTAATTCTGTATTATATCTTAAAAATACTCTCTTCATCTTATTAACTTTTTATGTTGTAAGAATAAGTTAACAATAAGTCCAATTATAAGTTCTGTAATCGAGTAAATACTTCATTGAAATTTTTTTATTGATTGCCTAGCCTTCTAATCGGAACTTGTTCAGAATTCTTAGAAATGAAAAGACAAAAAGAATAAAAGAGCAGAACAAACTCACCAGAAAGGCTTTCCACACACACATCTGACAATATTGCAGCCTCCATTCTTCTCCACAGGCTTAAGACATGATGGACAGTTCTTCGTATTGATCTTAATCCAATTTAGGTTCAACGATTCATCTCTCCACTTCTTTGTCCACAACTCCCACATCAAACATGAACAAGGAGAGTGTGCTTCTGATAAACAGCTAAAACAAAACTGTAACCCACATGTACATCCCACCTCGCATAGCACATCACCCTCAACACGTATAGCATTTCCACAATGAGGAACACTCGGACACCATTTCACCAATTTATTCTCCTCAATGTAGGATTCTAGTAGAAATCGATCAAATTTCTTTGCTAGATCTTCATCTCTCTTGCTTACTAGGTTTCGTATGACAGATTCATCACATACTGTATTGCATTTGTGTGACATGCACTTAATTCGCCTGCTATGACCCTCCCTTATCTGCATAATAAAATGCTCTGTCCAGCCTAAAAAGCATATACGAAGTACAATAGATATAATTGTGTTATTAGTTAACATATGAACAGGTAAAAACTATCGTAGCAGAGATAAAGATGTATTAATAAACATTAACATGTATATAAATTGCACTAACAATGTTTCAAAGTTTTTTATTTTATTTTGCTATTGCAGTTTACAGACATACAAAGTAGCCAAATGAAATCCTTGCCCCAAAGGTATAGGAAAATAGGAACTCCGAACTCCTAGTTGATCCTTGGCATTGAGGTCCAATTTCAGGTAAACTTACATTCCTATATGGTAAAGAAAATCATATACCTAAAATATCACAAATTACTCTGTGATTGGACTACAGAATCCGATTCATGGTAGTGTATGTTTTCGTGCCAACAAACCAGATCATTTTCATTAGCAATGTAGACCATAATTGTGCATTAGTTTGAGTACAAGTACATAATTACATAAATGCATAAAGTTTAGTGAAGTAGGAATACTTACAATTGTTGCAAAACGAATGTTGGCAATCCATTTGAGTCGCTTCATTGTACCGAACATCCTCCATGCAAACATTACAGAAGACAGTTGAAGAAGGTGATAAGTAGGTGCCAAGATCAGGGCAATTAATCATTTTAACTCCAGCTTCCGCAAACAAGTGATCTTTGCCCTTCTCCACAAACACCGTGACTAGCTTATCAACATCCCAATGGTAATGAATAAGTAAAGTTCGAGCATGGTGTACTCCCACCATCAGTAAATCCATCACTCTTTGTAAAACATCCCACTGACAGAAAAGAAGAAGTCATCCTAAAATTAAAAATAGGGAATTCGAAAGACTATTTCAAAAAGTAAACTTGATCGAAAGAATTAAAGGGTAAGGAATACCTGTGCAGCTAATAGAGAGTCGCTTGTAATCACCTGCATGAACCAGAATATAGGAAATCATAACTTGATCATATGCAATCCCAATATTATTGGACTCTTGGTAATTCCAATATCATTTGACACGTATTGACCGATTTAAGCAGATTCTTGTATATCAGATCATCCTTGTGCAGATAATGAAATATAAAAAAAAAAAAAATCGATTCCTAATGTTGTTTACGAAAATGACAAATAAACAAAGAAGAGATGACCTTAGCCAATGCTGATAACGTTTACTCGTTTAGCAGCCTCCAAGTACCACATCAAGGTGTAACAATTTGAGTTTCGATTTTTCATAGAATTTCATTTAAGAATTTAATTTCAAGGCAGTGTAATTCGCAAGTATGAAGTCCATGGAGGCTAGAATGACCAACTTTAGACCATTTGTTTGATTTTCAAACTTCCAAAATTAATCAATAACTTTGCAAAGAAAGTTGGAAGAGAGAAAAATAACATGACGCTACCTACCAAAAGCAGGTAGGCCACGTGTTTATTAGTAATACGGAGTACCATCCAATATTACAATTGTTACAGAACGGGAGATTACCTTAATTCATAACGTTATTAATTAGAGATACTTTTTTACTAGTGTAAGTGGAAAAGAACTTAGTGGAACAAACTGTTCCAACACTTTTAAATTACACTACATAAAAGTAGAGCTCAACTTTGCTTCTTCAATTCAACAACTTGTCATTTTTTGCTTAGCTTTTTCTCCTAAGAAAGGCATCTAACTAGAAAACACTTCTTATCGGTCCTATTTCTTATTACTATGTATGTATAATAAAATGGGAAAATAAAATAAAATTGAAGAATGCTTTATTTAAAAAAGAGCCTTTTTTTCCACTATTTAATTACAAGTCAATTAAGCCAATTTGTCAAGATCAATTACCTAATTATCACTTTTCACATGAACTTGTATATCTTATTTGTTAATAAAGTTTAATATATGAAACTAACGAGACTTATATATCAGAATTATCTTAATTCTTTTAATGAAATCCCAAGTTAATTATGGACTTAATGGCTAAAAAAAAAATATAATACAGTAACATAATATAAATATCATAATTTTTTTTTTTTTGAGGTTTTGAGTATTGTCACTTAAAAGCAACACACTGATTGGTCTAAGTTGAGTTGCTAATGAGCAAAAAATTAAAAAATCATAACTAACTACGTCCCTAAATAATAGGTCAGATTGGCTTATTGTGATCAAAAGTTAAAAAAACTGAGTCAAATTTCAATTTCACATGACCACAAAATCATAAGATAAATTATAATATTAGAGACGAAAAAAGTATCAATACGGAATAATTCATTAAACCTAGGAAAGTGACGTGTGAAATCCGTGATCATCTCAAAACACAGAATGACATAATATCACCATCATCTCCTTCAATTTTTATTTTGATGATATGTACTGTACTACGTAAACGTTAGATCAGATTGAAATAAGAAAGAGTAGTTTAAGAATTAGGATAACAATGTTTAAGAAACGGAGGGAGTAATAATAAATTAAAGGAAAAAGGTAGAGAAAAAATAAACAGGACCTGACACGAAGGGAGAGAATGACATTGATGATCGGGTTTGATATCGTCAAACTCAAGGTCGTCATCGCTGGAGTTGTGCGAATAATAGTCGCACTCGGCCTCGCTATCATCCATGTAATCCAGAAGAAAGCAAGCAAAATAGAGAGAAGAAAAACAAGTGATATGATGGGATTTTGCGGAGATACTAGGTTTTGAGTCGTTAACTCAACTTGTTTCTGGTGAGATGAGTTTTATCTTGTGTATTTATACTTTTATTATAAATAAAAAATCTGAGCGCGTCCTCCAGTTGACCTTGACTTTTTTTTTTTTTTTTTTTTAAATGTTCAGATAGTACACAAATGGTAAGATAATTTTATTTTTCTCAAGATCAAAATTATATAACAGAGTTTTTTTTTTTTTTTTTTTTTTTTTTTTTTTTTTAAAGGATCAATGTACGGAGTATTTGTGTTACAACTTACAAGTATATGACATAATTCTTGTTTTATGTTTAAGTATCTCATTTTGATTTTTACAAAGTATTTTCTTTTTTTAAAGGATCAATGTACGGAATATTTGTGTTACAACTTACAAGTATATGACATGCTTCCTGTTTTATGTTTAAGTATCTCATTTTGATTTTTACAAAGTATTTTTGAAATAGGCTTGATTGGGCTTAGCCCATTTGGTATGTCCAATTCCAATCGTAAGGATCACACAATTTTTTATTTGTTTTACTTGTAATAAGGTATGATAAAGAGAAAACGTTAGGACACGGTCTCAGAAGACAATTCCTAATGCAATATGGATCACGCAATTAAATAATGGCCTTGTTTAGTAATTAACGATTAGCTAATTGGTAAGAGTTGATTGCATGAGCTATTTTGACTAGCTGATTGGTAAGAGCTTATTATGAGAGTTATTTGGTAAAATTTGATTCTTAGTTGTAGTTGTTTGTTAGTTGAACACATGAAATGACAATGTAGGACATTAGCAATTCATTTTTACTTCACTAAGGTAAGAAGTGGGAGGGCAAGAATGTAAATTAGAGTAACTTTTTAGGATGAAATTGTCATTTGACATCCATTACTCAATAAGCTAATCTAAAAAGCTCTATTTTTTAGCTTTTCACAAATTAGTTGTGCCTCAATCAGCTCATTTAAAAAGCTCTTTAACCAAACAACCAAATTAAATGATTTATGCAACCAAACCTCTAATTGGGTCAAATAAGCTTCTTTTTTTTGTCAAAACTCTAATTACCAAACCTGGCCAATAAGATCTGCCCAATCATTTGAGCAAATAAGGACTAATGATTTGATATGCAAAACATAATTCATGATCACCATTAGAAAGGTTAACAAGAGAATAAGATTGCAAAAGACCCTGTTACAATGACACTGCTTCTTGTCCACTTCACCTTTTTAGTTGTCCTCCGGTTCATCAATGTTGGTCCTGAATAAGAAATCTTCACCTTCCAATTCATCTTGATACAAGCAGATTGATGGAAGCTAAGGTTTAGCCTTTCACAAGGTTGATAACTATTCAATGATCTTGTGCCCTGTGGTTTGCAGCATAGAAACTTAAAACTTAATTCACTTGCATTAAGAAATTTAGCATAATTACAGAGCTGAACATAATTATGCATGATCAAATTTTTAAGAATCATTTTCGAAAGGATGCAGTCTCATGGGATTCAAATTTCATATTGGAAAGAAAAGATAGCATCATTTGGCCTAATTATTGCAAGCTAAGTGAAGCATAGTAGCATACATGCATCCAATAATATGAATGACATGCACCGGTAAAGCGGTATACAGATTTCTATGACACACAAATCAAGTCCTCTTGTCTACTATTCTCCTCATATTCTAGTTACAAGTGTTCTATAAGTTCAATATCACTTTGATTCTCCATTTCACCTCAAGTGCTCAAATCAGAAGCTCAACATCAAACATGAGTAAGTTCATTTTGGACAAAAATATATGCAAAGTTTTCATGATGGTTGTGTTGTACACTTGGCACTGTATCCATAAATCTGAGTAACATAACAGGTGATATATTCCAAGAGCTTATACAAGATAACCTTAGTCTATAAAAAATTGTTTCTTCAAGTGTTATAAATTAGAATAGACTCAAAATGCGGGTTATAGGAATATGTAACAATTTCCTTTCAGTAAATGAATGTTGGTTATGTTCTCACACTTAAAACCCTACCTAGTTCATAAAACATAAGAAATTAACCTAACCTTCTTTAGAGTGTAGAAGAAATAATGGAATCCATCACCAAAAGTGCTCCACTTCATTGACCATGTAAAATCAGGAGCTTCAAATAATGGACGCCTAAAGTGTGACTGCAACAGAAAGTTAAGAAATAAAGAGGAGAAAAATCCATGCTAGAGCTTATATGATTCAGTGAACCAAAGTTTGAATGTACTACCTGCCCAAACGAAATTGATATGTAGATACCATTTGGCTTCAATACCCGGTGGATGCCTTGGAGCATTGCCATGACCTTGCTAATGGTTTCAGCTTTTGGGTTCCATGGATCACCATTGTCCACGAACAATACATCCTTGAATGACAAGTATATCCAAACTTGGCAAATTAAAAGTCAATTTGCACTTACAAAAGAAATATTTAAGGCTAAGCTACTAATATTGTTCTCACCATTGTTCCTTTCTCAATAACAACATCAAAAGAATCATCTGCGAATGGCAAGTCTAGCATGTCTGCAACCATGGCCTTTATTTCTGACATTTAAGGCAGCACAAATCATCCAAGTTAAGATAAAGGGGCAAGAAAGTGCAACAATCAGTACTGCTAAACCAAAATACATTCAAAATCAGTCAAGATAAACAACTTGACAATCATACTTTCCACAAGTGATTAAACCTCGAATCTTCTCTAAATTCACATTGAATTTTAATGAAAGGGAAACAATTAGCAACAACAACACATTGAATAAGCACAAAATGATGCACACCTTAAAAATATCCGAGCATGTCCGTGGAAGGCTATATCACTTAATTGGGAATTTCCACAACCCAATTCCAAAACCTAAAAATTGAACAAATGAAACTTATCAAATTCATATCAAGCCCAGAAAATTAACATAAATAAATAAAAAATACTTCAGTATTAACATTCTACCATGCAAAACAAAAAAAAACAAAAAAATGAAACAGAGAAAATACAGAGGAATTAGGTTGAATATTCTCCAAAATTAGGTGACAAAGATGGGAATAATCTTTGAGCCATTCATAATTTTCTTCCTTAGCAAATCTATCGTTCTTAAAAGAAAATTTTAGAAATTAAATTAGATGCAATAAATTTGAGCAAATTTTTTTAGAGTGAAATTAAAATTAGAAACAGGGGAGAGAGAACAAACCAGTAAAGTGGATCAAGATAAGTAAAAAAGAAATAGGGTACTACTGTATCTTCGAGATTCTTCTTCTCATAATCCATTAATGAGAGATTCTGGGTACCTTTGATTTCAGAGGGTTTTCTTAAACCCTAGATTGAGCAAGAGCGACGACAAGGCTTACAGGTCAACAAGTCAAAGTCTTTAATATCGGAAAATTTGTCAAATCTGACTATATGAGGACTTGACTACTTGAGCAGTATTATTTTTTATTTTTTATTTTTTTTAAAAAATGGTAAGAAAAAAGGGCTCATTTGAGAGGGAGATAAAAGAAAATCCCTCAAATAATTCCCATGAGGTTCGATCCTAAGATTTTAGGGATACGAGATAGCAGCGATGTCACTACTCCATCACCTCAACCTCACTTGAGCAGTATTATTGAGTATCGACAACGAAGTACTTCGCGTAAAAGTAGTCCATTCCTTGATTTCTACGGAGTACTTTAAGAAATTATTTTCTTAATCTGAAAGAATTTTAAAAATTATTTTAAATAATTAGACGTTAAAAAAAAAAATTAATAAAAAACAATTTTCGTATTTTATTAGATAATGTCCACGTTTTAAACATGAATGGGCGACTATACCTTCACATAAATTCCATGTTTTCCACCCCCTAACTCAATATATCATTTTCTCCTCTAACAAACCACCATCGGCCGAAGGCAAGGTAATTGCTGGAGTTAAGGTCATTGAGATTCTTCATGCTATGAGGAAGAACTATCTCCAATTAAAGAAATGAATTATCATTATCCGGATCTATACATAACTATTTATGATTCAATCAGGGTTAATAAGTTTTCATTATCAATTTCATAATTTATTTGGGTTTGTTTTTCATCAGTTCACTTAAACAATGCACAATCTACAATTAATAGTTTTTGCATAACTAAATACATGAAGTTCAAAGAATAGTGAGCAGATAAAAAATGAAACTAGAGAGAAAGTTAGCCAACAACCCCAACAAGAAAAAGAGACCAGAACCTACGAAAAACACTAGATCTAAGCTACTACTAGCCATCTCCATTCTACTCCACTCATTTCTCTTGATTAAAAGTAATGAAATACAATTTCAGCATGTCTTCTGGTAAAAATCTATCATCAAGGAAAGAGCCCAGTGTATCCAAGCACAATTCTATCTCAAAACCCAACATCATATGCTTACAAAAAGGAATTAATGGTAATCGTCAACCAAACACAACGAAATCCACAAAAGCATCTATCAAATCCCGTAAAAAGCTCAATCTGAACAATTATCTACATGTATTTTGTAATCTCCAAATTTCAAGGACTAAACATCACAATCAAAGAGCCTCAAATAGTTTCAAATCTCCAGAGTTCTGGGTTTCAAATTGGGTCCCTTTTGAAACCCATCTCCCCTTTCAATTTTACGAAGTTGGTAATAATTGGATTCTCCTTCGATTTGCAATTCCTAATGATAAGGAAATTGTATGGAATGAAAGGCCATGGCATGTCCAGGGTGAAATTCTTGTTCTCCAACCTTGGAGACCTCTGTTTGATCCTTTTTCAGTGGGTTGATCTTTGGATTCGTATCCCTAGATTCCCATCTGAGCTCATAAATTATGATTCAATTGCTAATCTTATTGAGAAAAATGAAATAGGCACCCTCATTATAACTCTATCATAAAGCACAGTGAAAACATGGAGGTGGAGCAACCGCTAGAGAAAGTCCTCTCAACCATGTCTGACTCCACCAAGCGAAAAATAGAGGAGAAGGAAGAAGACACGGCCTCAACCTTAGTGAAGAGGAACAAGAACTAATGCAATTAACCTCCCTTTTTTATTTTTTACGTTTTAAATGAATTTAGGTTTTTGGAATATTAGAGGTTGCGGAAGAAAAAATGCCCTATCTGAAGTCAATGACTTCTGCTCGATAAATCGTATTAATGTAATGGCATTATGTGATACAAAAAAACAATCTTCTCGTCATTCGGAAATAGCCAACTGTGACTTTAGGACTTTTGTTTTCAGCGCAACTTTGGGACTTTCTGGTGGTATCTGGTTAATGTGGAAGGATAGCTTAGCTAATCCTTTTAATTTATCCATTGTAGTAAAAGCCAACAGATTTATCTCATGTAATATCTCTATTATTAATTTGAATGTATCCTTTATTTGTGTTTTTATTTATGCCCCTGCTAGAGAAGAACAAAAGGAACGCTTTTGGACAGAGCTAATATCATATTTAGCAAGTATCATTGTATCAATGACCCATTTATAATAATGGGTGACTTTAATGAAAGGATAAACAAGGTGGCAACACACCAACGAGTAAAAGATTTCAAAGAATGAATGAATTAAAAGCAAAAGTAGATTGCATTGAAATTCCATTCACTGGAGCTCCTTTCACATGGAGAAAGAAAAAATATGGCACTGACAACATTTTTGAAAGATTAGATAGGGGTATGGCTAACACAAATTGGCTAAACACATTCCAAAATGCAAGAATTAAGCACAACATTTTTACAACATCAAATCACTGCCCAATTAGTTTGTGTCTAAAAAATCTATCACCTTTGAATACCCCACCATTTAGATTCGAAAAAATGTGGACAACTAGAAAAGATTTTAAGAACTTAGTTAAAAAAACTTGGTGCACCAAATTTAAAGGATCAAATATGTTTCGCTTACTAAAAAAACTTAAACTTCTTAAGACAAACGCCAAAGAATGGAATAAACGTAGATTTGGTAACATTTTTAGACAGTTAAGATTAGTAGATGATAATCTACAAAAAATTCAAGCTCAACTAATTACTACACCCGATAATAAGGTGCTACAGGTAAAGTATGATAAGTTGCTAGTAAAGAGAAATAATTTGTTCTCCTTTTCAAACACCTATTGGAAGCAAAGAGCTAGAATAAACTCTTTAAAATTAAACGATCAAAACATTAAATTCTTCCAAGCACATGCTACTATAAGGAAAAACAAAATGGCTATAAAGAAATTAATCACACAAGGTGGGAAAACAGTCTATGATAACAATTCAATTAGCTAAATCATGAATGAAGAATTTGCTGCTAGATTTACAAGCAACCAAAACTGTACTTTTAATATTAGCACCGATTTTGATCTTTTAGATCCAATAATTTCTGAGCAAGACAATAATGAATTAATAAGAACAATATCAGACTAAGAAATTTATGAAGCGGTCTTCGAGATGGACCCCGACAGTCATAAACGCCATCAAGAGGACGTGGCAAATCCCATGGAAGATCTACAACATCATATGTGACACGGAGGTAGTTTGAACACACTTGATTCTCACTCCATTCACCATTGTTGTAGGGAGACGAATATGGTGGCGGATTACATGGCAAAGAAGGGGCACCACCATGAAAATTTACTTTGGTCCTTTAATAATTTTGCGCCTTCCCTCTCCCTTATCATCCAAAAGGATGCTTTAGGTATCCCCAATCAAAGGGGCTAACCTAGCTTTTCTCACTCAATCAAAAAAAAAAAAAAAAAAAAAAAAAAAAGAATAGTGAGCAGAAAAGAAAGAAAACAACTTCCAGGAACCTTTGCAACATGACTTCAGAAAGTTGTGCATCACACTTCTCTCTAGGTAAGACATTTAACCTTCAATACCAGCATTTATAGGATTGGATTATAAATCACTGATATTCCACCATTCTTATCAGGAGCTGGGAGCATCAGTTGGTCCTCTGCCGTATGATTACAAACTAATATTGGCCCTCTCTCTGCAATTTGCATAACTTGGGAGCTTGTTCTTGATTGAAGAGAGCTTTGCAGCAACGTCACTCATGTCCAACCTTTCTCGTGGGAGCTCAGCAGAGCAACAAAGTCCAATTCCAAGTATAGAAATCAAAGCCTCTAACATCATACAGTTATATTCCTCATCTTCTACTAAGCCTTCAAGAAGAGCTGGATCTAAAATCTCAGTTACCTTATCAGGTAAGGCTTCTTTCACAAAGTGGTGAAGGCTCAAGCTTCCTTTTAACATGTCATTAGTAGGCCTCCTTCCTGTAAATATTTCCAGTAAAAGTATCCCAAAGCTGTAGACATTGCCATATATAGACACTTCATTTCCCAAACCATATTCTGCAATAACAATTCATGTAAATGTTATGATCATGAAAATGAGGTAACTACATGCTCTAAAAAGCTTGGTGGGAGCAATCTTCCAATAATCCATCTAAATTCACAAACTCACTGAACTACATGTAAGTGTGTGTGTGTGTTCGTGTGCCGTGTGGGTGGGGGAGGGATGTTAGTTACCTGGAGGAGTGTAACCAATAGTTCCCCGAACTCCCATAGAACTAGATGGATTGGAATTAAACTCACTGGTGCTTTTTGAGAGAAACTTTGCCAACCCAAAGTCACTGACATGTGCTACCATATCATCATCAAGGAGAACATTGCTTGGCTTCAGGTCACAGTGCACTAGGGATACACCATAATGATGGTGAAGATACTCCAAGGCTAAAGCAACATCAACAGCAATATTGAGTCTTTGCTGAAGATTTAAGTTTCTTGAAGCATAGTTTGGGCCATTAATTCTATTGATTTCTGGGTGCAACCAATCTTCCAAACTCCCATTTACCATATACTCATAAACTAGAGCCTTGAAATCCTTGCCTTGGTAATCAAGACTTGAACAGGCTGTTATAACCTGAACAAGATTCCGGTGTCTAATGTTCCGGAGTACCTCACATTCAGCGATGAAACTTTTGGAAGCACCATGGTGCTCAAGTTTAAACAACTTGATGGCAACAACTTTCCTACCATGGTTCAGGCTTCCCAGGTATACGGTCCCAAAGCTGCCGCTGCCTAATATATTTTCAGAAGAAAATCCGTTTGTGGCTTTTACAAGGCTTTTGTAGGACAAATTTGTAAGAGAAAGTTCTGAATCATCTGAAGTTATGGGTTCCTTGTTTCTCTTTCTGCAGCAAAAGGCATATACTAATACAAAAACCAGCAATAAAACAGCACAAAACCCAGAAAGAGATGCAAATATTATAGTCATTTTCTGTCTCAATCTTCTTTTCTGGATGTTAAAGTTGCATTTTGGCAACTTTAATTCAGGTAGACCTCCGCAGAGCCCTATGTTTCCGGCTGTTAAAACACCAGTTGCATTCTTAAAGATTCCACCAGTGGGAACATTGCCTTCAAGGTTATTGTATGAGAGGTTAAGCAATTGCAACTGGAATGTCCCCAAATAGTCTGGAATTTTACCAGATAAATTGTTCCGTGACAAATCCAACTTACGAAGACCCTTCAGAGTCTCCAAGGTAGGAGGAATAACACCTTGGAAAGCATTTCCCCCCCATAAAAAGGGATTCTAACACTACACAAGAGCTAAGAGTGCTTGGTATTTCACCGGACAACATGTTTTCAGAGACATCTAAAGCGCCTAGATTACTCAGTTTCCCAACTTCAGAAGGGAGGGGCCCCCTTAGATTGTTACCATTCAGATATAGTGCAGTAGATAGTGCAAAAAGATTAAAAAGCTCTGGAGGTTTTCCGCCAGTAAGATTGTTGTAGGAAAGATCCAAAGCTAGCAGGTATTTACAGTGCCCTATAGTGGGAGGTATGTGGCCTTCAAAACTATTAGCAGATAAGCTTAGGACACTAAGCTTAGTTAGGTCAATTGAGGATGGTATGTAGCCTGATAGCCGGTTAAAACTTAAATCTAATTCTTCTAGGTAATGGAGGTTTCCTATACTCAGAGGAATGACACCAGAGAGTTGGTTCCCCCACACGTTAAACAACTGCAAGTCTGCCAGGTTTTCTATACAGCTTGGAATTTCTCCACCTATCATATTATTATCTATTACAAATGTTGTAAGCATTGAGAAACTGCAGATAATCCTAGGAAAATTGCCTTTGAAAGAATTTTGACTTAAGTCAAGTACATTTAAGTTGGTGGCATTGACCAAGGAAGAAACAAAGTTTAAGCTACCAACTTGGCCAGATCCAAGGAAGTTGTCAAAAAGCAAAAGCTCGGAAAGCATAACTAGTTTCTCTAGAGAAGGAACTTGCCCTTGAAGTTTATTGGAGCTAATTTGAAGAATTTCTAACTTTGAGGCGTTGGATATTGAAGAAGGAATGAGTCCAGTAAACTGGTTATTGTGTATGGAGAAGTACCTGAGATTCGGAAGCATGTTGCCTACATTTGAAGGAAGGCTCCCATCAAAGTGATTCTCTCCCAAATCTAGAGTAGTCAAGAATGAGAGATTAAAAACAGACAGTGGAACAACACCAGATAAGTTATTTGAGAAGAATGAGAGAAAGGTAAGATTTTTCAGTCTGCCAAGGTTTTTTGGGAGCTTCCCAACCAATTTATTTCTACCGATGGAGAGTTTAAGTAGGGAAGATGTGTTACCCAGAGACGGAGGAATGGTTCCTGTCAGGTTGTTTATTGACAATTGAAGAATTTGAAGTTTAGACAGAGAACCAAGCTCGGGTGGAATCCGACCCTTCAACCTGTTATTTGAGCCATCCAACACAACAAGGCTAGAGCAACCAGATATACTTTCAGGGATTTCCCCTTGAAATAAATTATCAGAAAATGAGAAATACTGCAATCTATGCAAATTACCAATTTCAGAAGGGATTGAACCTGTAAAGCTGTTATTTTGGAGCTGCAACTGCTTCAAAAAGCTTAAATTTCCTACATGTAAGGAAAGGGAACCAGTAAGCTTCGACGATTGGAGGTCCAGTCCAGTCACTCTTTTATGCCGGTGACTACAAGTAACCCCATGCCACTCGCAAAAGAAGGCAGTGTCATTCCATGATCTCATCACACCTAAAGGATCATCAGTTATTTTGGCTTTGATTTCAAGTAATGCTAAATGATCAGTCTCCAGGTGATAACCAGCCAAGGAGGACTGAAGACAGTAACAGAAGAGAGAGGTGGCACACAGAACCATGAGAAAATGTTTGGAGGGAAGCCCCATACTACAACTATATTTGATTATTTGAGAGTATTAGTTTCTAATTGCATACAGTTGAAAAGAATGTCTTGTCAGTCTATATAATCCAAGGCTAGTATATTAACAAAGGTATCCGCATTTTTACCAGATATACTAAACTAAGATAAAGCAAATGAAGGACTCCCTATTAGTGAATATCTAGGAAATGCAATGGTGAGAACATGGAGAAGATTACGACCAAATAATTTAACAAATGACCCGTGATCAAAATAAAAAATTCTAATTTATCAGAGTTTGACCAGCTTTGATCAAACAACAGAAAGGGACATGCAATATCTTATAAAATTTTATGTTTAGTGTATTATGTGCTCTTCTGTTCTCTAAAGATCACTTAAGACAGTAAGAAGTGTAAAAAAAGTCTCCTCGAGAAAAGCATATGGTCCAGTCTATATGTTTTCTTTTAAAAAAAGACCAAAGGATTAGATTCATATTCATAAGTATTATTTTTTTAATCCTGAAGTCTTGTATCAAACTTATGATTATGTCCTTTAATAAAATAAGGTACACCTACTTCCTCCCCCAAATACAACAAATCTGACAACTACCGAAGGTTATTATATTGATTTTTCTGTCATTTAAGGTGAGTAAAATAGCAAATTTAACAAGAACACTGATGAAAATATGATCTAAACATACACACTGATGGTTAAATATGATCCTACTATACAATGTCCAGGGAACCAAAACGCACCCTTAGAACTGATAAGTAATGGTTCCGAACAAATAAATAACGATATCAAGTGGTTAGAAAACTTACTTTAACTTCGCAGAGGAAAAAATTCACAGTAGTACCAAACCTCAAGGAAGAAAACATTATCAGACCACAAGCATCTCTTGAAAGAATAATCCCATCAGAGAAAAATAAAAGAAAATCTGCAGAGATTAACATAATTATCCCGTTCCCACCAAACAAACATGGGGTATTATTATATATGGGATTAGTTTTTCCAATTCCCATTTTCTATTCTCACTAATCAAACACCCCCCTTTAGCTTTTAAAATACTTTGGCCCATAATAAATGGGAAACAAATTTCTTTAACAACCACAACTGAAGACAAAAAACACATAAAGCTTTCTATTTCTGTTGAAACCATTTTAATTTGAAGCAAGTAGGTTCAGCTATATATCACACATGTACACCATGGGCACTCCACATCCTCAGGAAGAAGAATGCAGCATACTTAAACAGGAAACAAAGCCAAACAGAAGAATGTTTGCAACAAAACATCCGTATTTTTTTTTTATAATCAAATATACCATATAAACCTGGGTTTTGTATCACACAAATATTGATATCAGACCAAGAGTTTTCCACTACTATAATATTTATCCCGAAAATTTTGGAGTAAAACAGTATACCTCTGCGACTTTGAATTAAGAATCTTCACAACCACAAGGTGAACTCCATGGATGGTAACCCCTTTGTTCCTTAATATTTGCTCCATTTGACCTAGTGGCAAACAAAAAAGGGATTGAGGGAGTAGGACTTAATCGTTAATAACGTTATTGTTTCATCAACCACCTAAACTAATTCAAGAGTTTGAAAGAATCAACCCACCTGCATCTAACTGATAATAATTGACTGATTAACAAGAAAGAATATACTAGTTTAAGTACTATTTCTACAAGTATAACCAAAATATTAACCCACCATTTTCAGCTAATGTGCTAGAAATCAAATACGCCGAAACATGTCAAGTTTCATCAAACAAATCCCAAAAATTGAATTTCAATTCCATTATATATTTTTAAAGCAAATTCTACAAGCTACTTGACATTTTTCAACTAATGTGCTAGAAATCAAATACGCCGAAACATGTCAAGTTTCATCAAACAAATCCCAAAAATTGAATTTCAATTCCATTATATATTTTTAAAGCAAATTCTACAAGCTACTTGACATTTTTCAACTTCCTAATTCTCCTTAAGTTGCTATTCATCTATAAAAAGATCACAAACAAGTAAAAAATCGAACTGTTTTCGATAAATGGTAAAGAAGGTGATCAACTGACAGGTTAAACTGAGTTCGTTCAATAATCCCACCTTTTAAAAGTTTGACATAATTCTTATGAATAGTGTTTGGACAATTATACCCTTCAAATATTTATTTACTTATTGCCTTCGTTAATTTTGATTGTTTTTTTTTTAACTCTTAAGAATAGTGCGTGGAAATTTATACTCCTAAAATATTTGTTTACATATTTTTCTCATTAATGCTTTTAACATAAGGCCAAATCAAAAGAGTTTCCCGCACATGACTAGCTATGGCGCGCGCATCACGTACTTTGGCCACCCTAGTTATATTAAAGATTATACAATATTCAGCTGATGATTGGTGATATCTGATCTTCCACAATCAAAAACATGTGAGCAAAATTTAGTAACTTCTCCTAATTATAGAAAAAAAAAAGTAAATTTTGCATGTTGTAACTCTAGTATCATGATTTCTCCAAATGATTAACTTGATAAATTCTGAATGGAAGTTCAACCATAATTACTCAAATTGATCAAATAAATGTTAAGAACTACACTATCAGACAATAGCTGCATTCCTGAATTAATGATTATCAGGGAAGAAAAAGAATATTACAGATCATGTAGTCAGAATTCCAATTTCATGACTATTGTTAATGCCAAATTTGTCAATCATACACCAACAAACTAAGAGAAAACATTAATTACTCCGAATTACAAATTTACAAGCAAAATTTTTGATAAATTGAAATAATTAGCACTAATTACTTACCAAAATCGCAAGAACTCCATATCATCTTCAATTGCTCTTGGCTTCTTCGTTTTTAATCAATCAACTCCTAACGTTTTTACAATTCACAACAATTAAGCATCGAAGCATGTCGTCTCAAAGAACAAATCCATCTACAAAAAAAAAATTAGTGGTCAAATAGTGCGTTGGAAAATAGAAAAATCAAAACAGTGCATCAACTGTTAAACAAAGGTGGTTACTGGTACTCGACTACTCGTACCATTTTGGATTAGTGTCCGTAAGTAGCTCTATTTCGTAATCCCTTCATTTTATAATAATTGCAATAATTTGATTTTTATACAATTTACTTGTATATAATTATATATTCCCTTTATTTTTATTTTATAGGCTAGAGATTAGATTGCGCAGAGTTTTGGGTGGTTTAATAAAATAAGATGTTAGTGGGAGTAGGGGTGTTCGCGGTGCGATTTGGTGTGGTTTGAATCCTAAACCGCACCAAACCGCAAAATTACAGTTTGTATTTTTTTCAAATCGCACCAAATCGCACTTCTAACTAAACCGCACCGCAAAATGCGGTTTAGTGCGGTGCGATTTGCGGTTTAGCCGTATGTTCTAAAAGTTATAATTATTTTTTGTAAAACAAAACTTTTATTTTATTTTGAGATTATTAATTTATAATTCAGATATTAAACTCATATTTTAACCTTTAATTAGCTAATAGTCAAAGATTAGCTCATATATTTTACTTCTTTTATATATTTTTTTAATAAAAATATAGAATAAAAACCACAAAATACATGTAAGTGTGGTTTGGTCTAAATTTTAAGAGATTTTGGAATTAATTTTCATCACCAGTTGGCACGCAAATTAAAGCACGAAATCCAGTAAAACGACTTCGTTTCAAACAATAATATCTCCCCTCTTTCTTCCCCAACCAATCGGTCAATGGAAACCAAAATCATACACTCTAAAACGACATCGTCTCTCTTCCAGATGAACAATCTCTAAACCAAAGGAAACTCCATCATCTTCAATGGCAGCAAAACCTTCGAAAGATAGAGACTTCCTGAAGCATCTAGAAGCATACTTAGCAAAACGCGATGGAGTCGACAAACTCCTCAAGATATCGCGATACGCTTCCAAATTCATTATCTCTTCTTCACTCCTCCCCCACGCGCACCCTGTCACGCGCCGCCTCAAGTCGTTTGAATCCTCCGTTGGTCTCAGCCGAAAAGCCTTTCGCCTCGGAAAATTCATCCAAGACGTCAACGCGCTACGCTCGGCGGCGCGTGAGAAAAATCAGAGCCGTCAATTACTTCTACTCTCTCTCCTCGCGTACGGCGGAGAAGGAATCTACTACTTCGTCGAACAAATCGTGTGGTTGTCGAAATCTGGTTTGATTGACGCGCGTCATGCGCGTGAGCTTCAGAAGGTAAGCGCGTGGGCGGAGTTTGTTGGATATATTGGGAGTATTACGTTGAAGGTTGGAGATTTGAAGGAATTGGATGAGAAATTGAAGTGTTTGAATTCGAGTGTTGAGATTGCGGATGTAAGAGATGAGAATTGTGAAGAGGAGAGAGAAAAATTGAAGGTTTTGAGGTTGAAGATGATGATGAAGAAGATGTCGATCTTGCAGGATTTTGCTGATGGATTAATGGCGTTGGCCGATATTCGGGACGGTAAAGGAAAGATTTTTACTCCATTTGTTCTTTCTTGTGCTGGATTGTTGTCTGCTCTGATTAGTACCCACAAAAATTGGGTTTCTTGTTGATTTTTTCTGTTAATTTATTGATTTTTTTAGGGTTGAATTGGTGGAAAATTGATGAATATTACAGTTTTAATCTTGTATTTTGTGTAATAATACTGAAATCTGGAAATTGAATTGAATACAAATTTTTTTTGCCATTTATGTGCAATATCTTTGAGCAAGTAGGAAATGTAGACGGGATTTGATCCCACTTGATATCGGAGCTGGAAGGCAATGTGGATGGGTTTTGATTCCAGTCGGCATTTACTTGTGCAATGTTTTGAGAGCTGGTTGATGTTTGTATACAATTGCAATGTTGTACTAACAGAAGCAGAAAGATTAAAAATCTTGGTTTCCCTACCAAAAAACTTTAAGAACTTGATTCATGAATGTATTTATATCTCTAGTCAAGGCAAATGATCGATTGCTCGTTAGCTGACTTGAAGATGGGTTAAACAGATGCACAATCTCATCTGAATTAACATGGCTCTGATATTATGATAGCTAGTTATGAGTAATTGGCTAGTAGGTAGAAAGATTGTTCCTCCCTCTGTACATGGAGTTGAATTACGACGAGTTTATCTGTGATTGAAGATAGATTGACCCTAAAGCCGTGTATATGGAAAATTCAACCTGTGTTACTTTTGGGTTGAAGTTTGGTTTCAAGTGTCCATAACTGTGATCTTCAGCTCTTAAATATGTAGTCACTTCAGTCTTCTGGTTTTCCGGGTTGCTCTAAGTCTTCAACTACTGTGTCAGAACTGGACAAAAGTTTGTGTTCGTTAACTGAAAGTTGGAGCTTTTGGTTCAACCAAGCAAGCATCCAATTAAGGCAGTTTCATGTTGATGAATGATGATCTTGATGGGCGGCTTTCACAGTGGATCGAGCAGCTGCAGATCAACTTTCTTTCTGAATCAAATGCTTGTTTGTGGACCTCTGAATTTAAGGTCAGTTTTCTTAAGTGTATCACTGGGAGTTTTTCTTTTTCTGTATACTCTGTATTTGGCTCTTCCTCAATTTTATTTGCGCATTTACTTGAAAGAATTTAATCTTTGTTACAATCTTGTGTTAAGAGAATATGGATTTTTCTCTGTATGGTTTCTGTCCTTTTTTTGACATTGTGAATGAAATGATAGTTACTTTGATTGTAAGTTATTGTGCCTTTCTGTTCAAATGATGGCTAGCGTTTGCTTATTTCATTTAACAGAATAGAATACAGATACAAATAAAGCTACTGCACAAGGATACATTGCGGTACAGCATAGGGTCCGGTATACACACTACACAGAGTAATCAAAATTACAAAAATAGAGAACTTGGAAATGCCGATGCATTTATCATGTTTAAGATACTTGTTTAAAGATATCTGGAAATATTTCTGCTGGCCTCTTGGTATCTCATGAAAAGACTCATGGATCTAAGATAAGGAATTATAAGCTAGGTTGCACGGAAACGGATACGGGGACAAAAACGGGTACGGGTAAGGGGATGGAAACGGCAAAATCAAAATTTCAAAAAACGGGATACGGCAAAATAAGAAATATATATATATATATAAAGTTTTTTTTTAAAAAAAAATTCCATACAACACAAATTAAAAGAAAAACTTGTTAATAATTTAATATCATGTCTTAAACAACACACATTATAAAAATCATTTAAAACGAAAAATGAAAAGAAAAACAAAATCACAAAGTTCACGCCAAACCACTACTGCTGGAGTGCTGGCCTGCTGCTACAGTTAGTGGAATGAAAACAGGGAAAAAAGAAAAAATAATCACATCACACTATCAAAACACTTGTCAGTCACGCGTGTTCACCGGTCGCCGGTGCCAGGTGGATCGTAGGTGGTCGCCGGCTTCGATTGTAGGGCTGCAACCTAGGTCGCCTCCTTCTATACAAAGAATCTAGCCTTTTCAATTTCTACATCCCCGGTACGGGAGACGGTGGAAGAGTGCCGTACCCGTGCATCACAGATTATAAGTCTCATTGTGCTACATCTTAGGTAAAAAAAATAATCAAATTATCAAAATAATGTATTCTGAATTAGATGAGTAGATGGCTGCTTTGCTGTTCTGATCTTGAATCAGAACTCATAAGGACTAGTTATTAAAACCCCCTAAAAAGCCTCTAAGAGAAGTCACTGAAGAATATTAGCTCATCTTGTTCTTCATGTCCATCACATCACTAGTTTGCTCGTGGGAAGATAACGTTATGTAGACATTGATCACCTTTGTGTTCCTGCACCCAGAAGATTGAAGAGCTAATAAAATCTGATTAAAAAAATTACTAAACCTCAGCTAGAGATGTAGTTGAACAAGTAATCGTTCATTTGTGAGGAAAGGTAATAGAAACATTACCTGCTCGAATTCTCCTCCTTTGTTGTAAACGAGTTCCAAGGAGCTTGTTTCTGATTGATGATAGCTTTGTAGCTACATCGCTTATGTCCAACCTTTCTCTTGGGACCTCAGCTGAGCAAGAAATTGCTATTCCAAGTATTGAAGTCAGGGCCTCCAACATCAAGGTGCTGTCTCGCCTGTCTGTTTCCTCATGGTCTATTTCATCAACAAGGACATGATCTAAAATCTCGATCACATGTTCCGGTAGAGCTTCTTTGACGTAGCAATGCAAGCTTAGGCCCCCCTTGAACATGTCGTTTGTAGGCCTCTTTCCTGTAAATATTTCGAGTAATAGGATTCCAAAACTATAGACATCACCTCTGGTAGACACCTCATTTCCCACACCATATTCTGCATGTAGTGCCTCTTGTGTTAATATGTTATAATTGAACTAACATTAAATTATATGCAAAAATTTTGTTACAGATAGCTAAAATAGGATCACTGCAGTACAGGTAGATTATATATTTTTAGAGATAGGTGTAAGAACACTAGTTAATTACCTGGAGGAGTGTAACCGATGGTACCTCTAACTCCAATAGAGGTAGATTGATTAGCTTGAGAATCAGTGATGCCTTTCAAGAGAAACTTGGCAAGGCCAAAGTCTCCTACATGTGCGACCATATTTTCATCAAGGAGAATATTGCTTGGCTTGAGGTCGCAGTGAACTATGGAGGTGCCACAGTGGTGGTGAAGATAATCCAAAGCAAATGCAACCTCAATTGCAATATCAAGTCTTTGGCGAAAGTTCAAGTTCCTTGAGGTATCATTTGTGCCATCAGCTCTAGTGATTGCCTCAGTTGGATGGAACCAATTGTCTAAACTCCCATTCACCATATACTCAAAAACCAAAGCCTTGAAATCTTTGCCTTGATAATCAACACTTGAACAAACTGTTATTACCTTCACAAGATTCCGATGTCTTATGCTTCGGAGGACGCTACATTCTGCCAAAAAACTCTTGGAAGCACCACGATTTTCAAGGTTAAATATCTTGATGGCCACTGTTGATCTATCCTCTTCAAGAATTCCTTTGTATACGATCCCAAATGAACCAGTGCCAATTAAATTTTCAGAGGAGAATCCATTAGTTGCTTTAAGAAGGGTTTGATATGACACATTCTGGAAATTATTTGAATCACTAGAAGATGTGGGTTCCTCAGGCTTCCTTTTAAACCAGCAAATATATGATACCACAAGTAAAGTGACTAGTAAAACAACTCCCAAAATTGCTGAAAGAATTACAACTGTCAACTTCTTGTTCATCAATCTTCTCTTCTTGGTGGTGTGGCTAAATTTGCAGTGTGGCAAATTTAAGACTGATATGCCTCCACAAATTCTATTGTTTCCAATGACGGAAAGATTCTTTGCGTTGTTGAAGACTCCACCTATTGGTACTTCACCTTCAAGGTTGTTGTATGATAGGTTTAGCCTCCTCAAATTGAGGCTTGCTAAAAATTTTGGAATTTTGCCAGATAAATTGTTGTATGACAGATCTATTTCTATAAGACCAGTTAATTTCTGCAGTTCATTAGGAATAGTGCCTTGGAATCTGTTTTCATCCATGCCTAGGAGCTCTAATGATAGGCAACTTCCAAGAGAGCGTGGTATCTCACCTGATAGCCTGTTACCAGAAACATCAAGGGCTGCAAGGTTTTTCAATTGTCCAACTTCCTCAGAGAGAGATCCAGTTAAGCGGTTTCCATCTAGAGAGAGTGCAATAGTTAAGGAGGGAATGTTATAGAGTTGTGAGGGTATACTACCGGTAAGATTGTTATCAGACAGCAATAATTCTATTAGTGACCTACAATTTTCAAGAGTTGGAGGTATTTGGCCTTCAAGGCTATTATTATATAGGAAGAGCATTGACAACTTGGTTAAGTTTCCAATTGAGGGTGGAATGACCCCGGATAATAAGTTATCATTTAGACTTAGAAGCTGGAGATTTTGGAGCTTCCCTATGCCTTGGGGAATGACCGAAGATAGTGCATTTTTGCTAGCATCAAAATATTGCATTTCTGCTAAATTTTCTATACAAATTGGAATTTCACCTGATAAGCTGTTGTCGCTTAATACCAAATAAGTAATTGATGAGAAATTGCATATGATTTTAGGAAAGATTCCCTTGAACTTATTTTGATCTATCTCAAGCCATTGCAAATTTGTGGAGTTAGCCAAGGAAGAAACAAAGTCCAAATCTTGAGCTTGGCCATATCCAAGGGAGTTACTGTAAAGGACAAGGTGAATAAGGTTTACTAATTTGTGCAGAGAAGGAACTTGTCCTCGGAGATTGTTTTGTGACAGATCAAGAACTTCTAGATTTGAGGCATTAGATATTGAAGTTGGAATATGTCCAGTGAATCGATTATTGTATATAGAGAACCACTGAAGATTCGGGAGTGTATTACCAATATCTGCCGGAAGGTTTCCTTCAAATTCATTTTGGTATAAACACAAGTATGTCAACAAAGAGAGGTTAAAAATAGAGGGAGGAAGTACTCCCGAAAACTTATTCTCACATAAATTCAGACTGGTTAGGTTCTTTAGTTTGCCTAGACTATCTGAGATACTTCCAACTAAATTGTTTCCACCTAATGAAAGCATAGACAGGGATGATAAGTTCCCTAGGGATGAAGGAACATTGCCAGTTAAGTTATTTCTTGCTAACATAAGAAATTGCAAATGTGACAGGGAACCAACCGTTGGTGGGATTTTCCCCACAAACTTGTTTAGGGAAAGGTGTATACCAGTAAGGCTGTAGCAATTTGATATATTAGATGGAATTTTCCCCCCAATGGAATTATTAGACAGCCGGAGAGTTTGCAACCGATGCAAACGGCCAATCTCAGGTGGGAGTACGCTGCTGAAACTGTTATTTTGGAGGTTGAGTATCCTGAGGAAGCTTAAATTACCAAGATGAGGGGAGAGGGTACCTGTGAGTTTTGAGGAATGCAAGTCAAGTACCGTTACTCTCCAGTGCTTTCCGCCGCAAGTAACCCCATACCACTCACAAAAGGGGAGACTGTCATTCCACGAGCTCATGAGGTTGAGTGGATCGTCACTTATTTTGGCTTTGATTTCAAGCAGTGCTATCCTGTCTGTGCTAGTGTTGCTAGCTATCGAGAATTCAAGACAGCAAAGCGCAGACAGAGAGAAAATGATCCAGTATAATAAAGTGTTTCGGCTTGACATTTTTTTTTTTTTGGTTTTTTGGGAGTTATTATTTGATATAACTATCCTCATTGAAGCTATTCACTTATCTTTATATACAATGCAGTAGTCAATGGTCGTAAAATAAGTTGCTGAATTGAAATGACCAGCACATTACTAAAAATGGTAGGGATATGCAAATTTGTGGAGGACCTTAGCCTGTTTATGAAACTTTGACCTCCAAATCTGAACACCTTTCTACTTTTGGTGTTTTTAATTGACAAGTTGAATAATAATACAAGAAAACTTTGGACTTGCAAATTTAGGTGTGGTCCCATGTACTCTAAATATCTTCATTGTCTGCTGTGAGTGATTGTTAGGACTTTGGGTTGAAAATGAGTGGAGTGAAAAATGCATGATTTTTTTTTTTTTTGACAGCTAACACAAAACAGTTAACAGATCAAAACTCCGTTAGTACTTGAACCGTTATTCTACCCAAAATTTGTTCTTTTTGCTGAACAAGGGTGGATCAATAAGTAACTTTGCCTGGGGTTTTACCTGTGAGAATGTCTCTTTATTGAATCTTACTTTCTGGTTCTTTAATTTGTTTGATCTAATATATGTTATACAGGATACATTTTTGCTTTGCATAATTTTTGGCAATATTATTGAAATATAGACTGTTTTGTTTTTTTTTTTTTTTTTTTTTTTTTTTTTTTGAAAATGATGCTTGCAGAGTTGCTGTAATCGAATGGACTTAGTTGTCGTGCAGCTGCTGCTCAAGCAGGTATTTTCGAGCCTAAAATCCTATAGCCGACGAGATCAAAGGGTTATCCGATGATCAGTTGTTGAGTCGATTCCTATTGGGAAGACAGGGCTTTAAGGATGAGGGGTCTGGTAAGCTAAGGTATCTCCCGAACGCATTCAAGCAAGCTCTTATGCGTCCGGCCCATGATTGGTGCGAACCTAGGAGATATCATCCAATGTATTGTCTGATTGCTCACATGAAAGAATGTTGGTATTGATTCATTTAGATCGATTTTACCATTTCCTGATTGTATGCAGGATTGCAGAAATTACTTATGTGTGACTTAGAATGTTATACAAACTAGAGATGCCAAATGCAGCGGGTATGTGTTACTAATTTCTTAGAATTAAGGGATAGCTTGTTTCACTTTGTTTATGTTCTGAGCAATGCATTCACTTTGTTCATATCCAGGCTTCTGAATCTCAGGCATTGTTTTTCTGGTTTCTTCTAACCATTTGATTTTCCTGAGACTGCACTTGGTTGGCACAAAAAGTAACATGAGGTGGGATATCACCTCAAAATGAACTAGTGTAGCTAAGGTAAAGCCATTAGCCTATGACCACTGCCCTATATGAAGATGCCTGGATGGCCGAAATCTTGTGGTGCTTCACCCTTGGAAGAAAAAAATGACAATGTATAACTGCTGCAGGTTCCTTAATTAGTTTCCTGCGTATTGTGAAATTAAATATACCAGGTTACAATGTCTTCTGGAATCCGGACTATTGCACATGGTTGGTTATGAACTCCTAATACTCAAAATTAACAATAATATTTCCCAAGAAAGAAATAGAGATGCAAATCAGAAAATACATTACAGTAAAATAAATGCTATCAGAAAAACATTCCTGCTCAAGTGCTCGTCAATATATCTGAATACCTGCTAGGCTGTTAGATTTTTCTCTGTTTTGTGCACAATTCAAGTGCCAAAGAGCTTCTTTCTAATTGATGATAGCTTTGTAGCAACATCACTGATGTCCGACCTCTCTCCTGGGACTTCAGCAGAGCAATGAAGTGCGATTTCAAGTATAGAAATCAAGGCATCCTACTTTGCGCTGCTACTCGCATTTTCCCCATTGTCTAGGTCTTGAAGAAGAGCAGGGTCAAGAATCTCAGTTACATGTTTATGTAAAGCCCTTTTCCCAAAACTTAGCAAGTTCAAATTGCCTATAATTATATCGTTAATTGGTCTCTTTCCTGTAAACGTTTGCAGTAAAAGGATCCCAAAAATATAGACGTCGCCACAGGTGGACACCTCGTTCCCTAGTCCATATTCTGCATGTCATACCAATGCATCATACTCCGTAACGAAAATATAGTAATTGGTACAAAAGATAATTTAGGGGACACTAAGAAAAATAAATTATTAATTTAGTTTGCATAATCTTTGGAATTGGGCTAAAAATAATCAAAATATAGCCGATAGTTCCTTTGACTCCAATAGAGCTAAACTGATTTCCATGAGAGTCCGTGATTCCTTTCAAGAGGATCTTGGCTAGACCAAAGTCGCCTACATGTGCAACCATATTTTCATCAAGGAGAATATTGCTCGGCTTGAGATCACAATGAACTATGGAGGCACCGCAATGATGGTGAAGATATTCCAAAGAGCATGCAACATCAACTGCAATGTCAAGTCTTTAGTGAAAATTCAAGTTTTTTGTGACATTTATGCTCTCAACCTGATTGAATACCTCGGTTGGATGCAACCATTCTTCCAAACTCCCATTAACCATGTAGTCATAAACCAAAGCTTTGAAATCTCTACCTTGATAATCAACACTAGAACAAGCTGTTATTACCTTCACCAGATTTCGATGCCTGGTATTTCGTAGGATGTTGCATTCTGCAGTGAAACTCTTTGAAGCCCCATGGTACTCTTGCTTGAATATCTTTATGGCAACGTCGATCCATCGTTATCAAGGCTTCCCTTCCCCAAATGTACCACTGCCGATCAAATTTTCCGAGGAGAATTCATTTGTGGCTTTAACAAGGGTTTGATTAGACAAAAAATTATCTAAATCACTTGAAGTTAAAGGTCCCCTAGCCCTCTGCCTTTGCCAAAAGCTACACAATGACAAAAGTATAGCCACAAGAATTCCGAATAACCCAGAAAGAAGTGCAATTGTCAATCTCTTTATGTGCTTCTTTTTGCTTTTTTCAGTGTTGTGGCTCCAGTTACATCGGGGTAACATTAAATCAGATATGCCTCCACAGCCCTATTGTTCCCGGTTATTAGAACACCAGTCACATTGTTGAAGACTCCTCCAACGGGTACTTCACCTTCAAGATTGTTGTGTGACAGATTAAGGCTTTGCAACTGGAGGCTTGCGAGAAATTTCGGGATTTCACCCGATAAATTGTTGTGCGACAAGTCTAACCGAAGGAGACCCCTTAATGTTTGTAATGCACTAGGAATGATGCCACTTAAATTGTTTTCTTGCATGTATAAGAACTCTAAGGATACGCAACTACCAAGTGAGCTCGGTATCTGACCAGATAGCATGTTACGAGAGACATCAAGTTTGTTAAGATTGTTGAGCTGCCCAACTTCTTGAGGGAGGGTCCCAATTAGATGGTTTCTAGAAAGATTGAGTGCGATTGATAAGGCAGGAAGATTAAAAAGTGTGACGGTATCAAACCGTTAAGCCTGTTTTGAGAAAGATCTAATTCTATTAGTGATTTACAATTTTCAATAGTTGAAGGTATTCGGCTTTCAAGGCTATTATTGAATAAGGAAAAAATAGACAATTTGGTTAAGTTTCTAATAGAGGGCGGAATAACCCCTGATATATGGTTACCATTTAAATTTAAATAAATGAGATTTTGGAGCTTCCCTATACCTTGGGGAATGACCCCAGAAATTGTGATGTAACCAGATGCAAAAAATTGCAATTTTGCCAAGTTTTCAAATGCAAGTTGGAATTTCTCCACCTAATTTGTTGTAGCTTAGAGATAAAAATCTAAGCGATGAGAAATTGCAGATGATTTTTGAGAAATATCCTTTGAAGTTATTTTCAGCTATCTTGAGCCGTTCTAAATTGGTGGCGTTGGCCAAGGAAGAAACAAATTCCAAATCTCCTCTTGTGCTTTTAATACATAATAAAAATATACAATAGGGAGTTATATACCTTGTAACATGATCCAGATAGTAAAGACTTTGACTTTCCAATTGAGGGAACATGGACTAGCTAGATGATGGTAATTAAAGATAGACGACTCTCTAAGTCAACCTTTACATTATCAATATTTTTAAGGCAAAACTCAAGCAATGATATTCAAGATCTTATTAGTGCAGACTACAGACTAACTGTGTAAATTTACTGTAAAGTTGGGGCATGTATCTCGCTACACCAAAAACAAAATAAATTACTGTACTACATCAAGCCAAAAAATCAGGTTTACACCGTATAGTTCCTTCATTTCTTTCCTCAAAATAGAAATAAAATAAAATAAAAAAGGTTCCATTATTTTATAGAAAAAAATGAAAAATATAGCTCGTTATTATTTCATTCGTTAATCTTCTTGTCTTCAGGAGCTTGCTCAAAGTTAGACCATACTTGGTTTTAGATCAATCACACTTGTGAACCTGCACCAAGAAAGAAAGATCAATCAAATATATCAAAGTCAATTTTCAATGTTTTATTAAATTAAGTATTCATTAGCGAGGGAAAACCAATAACTAAACCATTAATATATGTATACCTGCTTGAAATCTTCTTCTTTGCCGTAAGCTATATTCAAGAAGCTTCTTTCTAACCGATAATAGCTTTGCAACGACATTGCTCATGTCCATCCTTTCTTGTGGAGCCTCAGTTGAACAAGACAGCGCGACCTTAAGTATAGAACTCAGGGTCTCCAACATAAAACTGCTATCAATCTCCTGACCATGTATGTCTTCAAGAAGAACGCGATCTAGAGTCTCGATCACATGTCCAGGAAGAGATTCTTTGACAAAGCAATGTAAGCTTACACCCCCCTTGAACATGTCACTTGTAGGCCTCTTTCCGGTTATCAGCTCTAGTAAAAGAATTCCAAAACTATATACATCGCCTTTGGTAGATACCTCGTTTCCCAAACCATATTCTGCATTGCATAACTCGAATGTTAGTTGTTACTACGTATATCACATTATCAATACATAAGTACATACATACCAACTATATAGTACTGGTGAAAAGTGTGTGAACATTATAACTAGTTACCTGGGGGAGTGTAACCGATAGTTCCTCTAACACCCATAGAGCTGAACTCATTCTCATGTGAGTTGTTGATGCCTTTTGAGAGGAATTTGGCGAGCCCAAAGTCCCCGACATGTGCAACCATTTCACCATCAAGGAGAACATTACTTGGCTTGAGGTCACAGTGAACAAGGGAGATCCCACAATGGTTGTGAAGATAATCCAACGCAAATGCAACATCAATAGCAATATCAAGTCTTTGGTAAAGATTCAGCTTCCTTAAGGTATGTTCTATGCCTTCAATCGGCCTATTAATTTCGTCGGCTGGATGTAACCAGTCATCCAAACTACCATTCGACATGTATTCATAAACTAGAGCTTTGAAATCTGTACCTTGATAATCAACACTAGAACAAGTTGTTACCACCTTGACAAGATTTCGATGTCTTATACTACGAAGGACCTTGCATTCAGCCATGAAACTCTTAGAAGCACCGCGATAATCTAGTTTAAATATCTTGATGGCAACAATTGATCCACTCTCTTGAAGGGTTCCTTTGTATACAACACCAAATGCTCCACTACCAATCAAATTTTCCTTGGAGAACTCATTTGTGGCTTTACGAAGTGTTTGATAAGACAAATTCGAAAAATTCCCAGAATCATCTGAATGTGTAGATTCCTTGGTTTCCTTCTTCTTCCATAAACTATATAATGACACAAGTAAAGGCACTAGCAAAATAAACCCAAATAATCCACAAATTATTCCAATCATCAATTTCTTCCTATGTTCTAGTCTTCTTTTTTTAGTGTTGCTGCGGCTCAAGTTACAACGGGGCAATTGTAACTCGGGTATGCCTCCGCATAACCTATTGTTTCCATTTATCAGAATACCGGTTGCATTTTTGAAAACTCCTTCTATGGGTACTTCACCTTCAAGATTGTTGTGTGATAGATTGAGGCTTTGCAATTGGAGGCTTGTGAGAATTTTCGGGATTTCACCAGATAAATTGTTGTGTGACAAATCTAGCCAACGAAGACCCTTTAATGCTTGTAATGCATCAGGAATGGTGCCGTTGAAATTGTTTTCTTGCATGTATAAAATCTCTAATGACACACAACTAGTAAGAGATCTTGGTATATTATCGGACAACATATTATGAGAAACATCAAGGCTATTGAGAGTATTCAGTTGTCCGACTTCTACAGGGAGAGACCCCGTTAGATGGTTTCCTGAAAGATTGAGTAGGATGGACATGGTGGGGAGACTAAAAAGTTGTGACGGTATTGTGCCGTTAAGCTTGTTATTTGAAAGATCTAAGCTTAGAAGTGATCTACAATTTTCAAGATTGGGAGGTATTTGGCCTTCGAGCTTATTATTGGATAGGGTTAAAGTTGACAACTTAGTTAAGTTTCCGATTGAGGATGGAATGACCCCGGATAA